TCGAATTCAGAAATTCAGGCAAATAAAATACACATATGAACAAGAAGGGGAAGGAGGAGGAAAAGGAGGAAGGGGAGAGGAGGAGAAGGGTCCTAAGGATGTTCTGCCTGAATATGACAGGAGGGTTAAGAGCTACAACTGAGAAATCACCATCCCAAGTGCCGTGTCTTCATTCAATTTAACTCAGACTACAAATATGATATCAGTCACTGCTGATACAGAAAATGAAATAGTTCCAGACTGCAAAGAGCTCCTAATATGAAATGAATATTAATAAAAAATGAAAGTATGCACATACATATTTTAAACAAGCTACAATCAATATTATACAATGAAGATTTGTGGGTTTTGTGGTAATCAGCTCATACTGATAGCTATTAGATTGTTAAGCATTTCTAATATGTTGTTAATGTTTTTTAAGTTTCAGTTGAAATAGACAAGTTATTGATATAGACACTGCCAAAGGGAAAAGTTTGTAGATAAATCAAATAGGTGAATTTAATATAAAAGGTGTAAATCATATAGTACATTTGAGCATCTTCCTTCTTTTGGGAATCAAAAGATTAAACAGCTATGTACCCTATAACAACATTTCAGTCAGCAATGGACCATGTATACAAAGGTGGTCCCATGAGATTATAATGGAGCTGAATTTCCTGTAAGGAGTGGAAGGATATGTGGTTCAGGAGGAAATTTTTTTTCTCTGACGGGAGCAATATTGTAGGGCTTGGCAGTAGATTCCTCTCACTCACAGTGCCTCAATTCTGAGTGCACAGATTCATCCTAATGAGTCAGCCACTGACCTGTTTCAGCACAGAGGAGCCTGTCCCCTCAGTGCTCCATATTCAGAGGGCACTACCCAACTCCCAGAGCTGGCCTGATGGTCTCCAGAGGACATTGCTGTAAGTTCTTTGTTGAGGACCTGAGATCCTATACAAGGTCCACAGGAGAGGGGACCCTAACAAGTATTATTTCCCATTGTCACTTCAATAAAAGCTTTCTATGTAGCATGGACCCAGACTGTCCTTGTACTTTGGGAATATTTTCAGGTTGTAATGATGTAAAGCATAGATAAGTTTTCTTTCTTTATTTTTTCCCATCAGTTCAATGCCAGAGAGAGCCTTTTGTGCCAGATAGGGTCGGTGGAACCAAAAACAAAAATTTCCAAAGTCAAAATATTGAGTCCTCAGTTTTACACCCTCTCTGTGTTAAACACCCTCTTTTTTTTTCTTTTTTTTAAAGATTTTATTGGGGAATTGGGGGAGGGGAACAGCATTGGGGAATTGGGGAAGGGAACAGACAAGTTGCTGCTGTCCTTTTGTCTTCAGTCTAATTGCGGAAGACGTCACTTCACTGGCCCATTTTTGTATTGTGATCATTGCGCTCTTCCTGGGTGAGTCAGTCACTCACTGGCCATTGGACAGCCACTCATGGCGACTCACAGCAGCTCACGCTGGCTGCCAGCCGCTCCCGGTGGCTGCCAGCCACTCATGGTAGCTCACGGCAGCCCACTGCAGCTCCACTGCAGCCTACGCCATCGCTGGGGACTCAAGGCAGCCCAGCTCCAGGTTGAGCTGTTGTTCACCATCTTAGCTGTAGAGGGCGCAGTGTCACTGGCCCTCATGTGTGGGATCCACCTGCTGCCTGTTGCTCAGAGCTCACGCTCTTAAGCTAACTCTTAAGCAACTGAGACACTCGGCTTCCCCAAACACCCTCTTTTTTAAAATGAATACCATAAAGTTCCTTAGTCTGACCACGGCTCCAACATGCAGTAGCCAAAACCCCATTGCCGTGACAACCACTTGTGTTCCTTTCTCTCCCCATCTTGGTTTCTTATTCCTGCTGATCCTCAGGCCTCCTATCACTCCCTCCTGACTGTCACTGTCACGGTGGCCTGTGCCTTACTCAGCTTGTTTCTCCTTGATAGTTCCAATCAACCCAGCCACACCCCTGTTCATGGAGCAGCACTGACAGCTTTGATGTTCAGAAGGAAGGGGAGGGCTTGTGGAACTGTGTTTATAAAGTCTGCAGTGGTGGACAGCCATGTCCTAGGCCTTGACATTCACTCACCACTCACTCAGCTGACTCACACAGAGCATCTTCCAGTCCTGCAAGCTCCATTCATGGCAAGTGCCCTGCACAGATGTCCCATTATTTTTATCTTTTACACCAAATTTTTATTGTACCTTTTTTACATTTTGATATACAAATACTTACCATTGTGTTATAATTGTCTGTTATAGTCAGTCCAGTAACACGCTGTACAGATTTGTAGCCTAGGAGCCAACTACACCATGTAGCTTAGGTGTGTAAGTGTACTCTATAATGTTCACACAAGGGCAAAATTGCCTAATGCTGCATTGCTCAGAATTTATCCTCATCATTATGTGACACATGACTATAACTAAAACCATCAGAAAAAAAAATAATATGCTTCACATGGCATTCTCTCATGCTCAACACTCTGCTGTGCTTTTTATGGGAAATTACTGTGTCAGAGTTAATTTAATTCAATGTAATTTAATTGTTGAATTTGTATTTTGCACACATTATTGGAGGCCCGAAAGCAATGGTATGTGTTTCTCTAAATAAATAATTTTCTCTCACAGTTTAAAGAACTGATTGGCTTAGAAGACATCCACAGATTATAGAGAACTACCAAAATATGCAAAGTACTAAACAGAAAGATTACCCAGACCCCAATCCACCAGGGAAAGCACTGAAGGAATTAATAGTCTGTTTTTCTCCTTCTACAGCAATGCAATTTAGTCTTAAATTTTCACCAAATACAACTGCTGTGGTTACAGAATTTAGAATAGATGTTTTATCTCCCTCACAACTAACCTTCCCCGCACCCGGCTGTCCCCAGCATGGACTCCATGCTCTACCATCTTGCTTTAAGCCTACAAATGTCGGTGCATTGACACCTGTGCAGAAGCATGTGTCTCACATCAAATTTGTTCATTCTGTGACTTGTCGTTAATGTCAAAAGCTCAACAGTCCCTAATTCCCAACAAACAGTTTAATGGGCTTACTTAAAGACACTGAAAAGTAATGAAAAGAAGAATATAAAAATGAAGAAAAATTACCTTACAATTGGCTTGAGTTACGAGCAGTTGGGCATTCGACTCTTCTAGATGTTCTTTGTTTCTAAGTCACATCTTCTCTCCTCCTGCCTTCCCAGAAGTCCTCATTCTAACAAGGCTTCTAGTGTCAGTCTCCAGGGATCCAGAGAAGAAAGGATATGCCTGCTCTTGAAAATTCTCACTCCTCTTCCTTTTTGAAGGCAGAAACATAGACCTAAAAGCAAATGAATCAGTAATGAGATGAAGTTACAGGATATGCTTGTTGTTGTTGTTTTAATGTATTCAAGTTGCATATTTTTTTTAAAAAAATTCTTGCTGCGTTTCAGGAACTATATACGAATTTAATCATCATTACACACTAGTAGTAGCACACAACATTATTATCTGCATTTTACTGACAGAGGAACTAAGGCAAGTGAAGGTAAGAACTTGCCCAAAGTCACACAGCAAGTAAAGACAGCTAAAATGTCTTCCGTGGTTATGATCAGCCCTGAGCTGGTTTATAATGAGATGTTCAACTGCTCCATATCGTTCTTTGTGCTGCCTGACCTACTCTGGCATTCACTGACACATCCATGACCATTTTTGATTGTCATATACAAAACCCATGCTGAATTCTGCCATCATGTTTCCTGTCATGACTGAAATTGCTTTGGTCTCCTGACTCGAACATTCGGCCAAATTCTTTGCCCTCCTCAGAAGCAGAAGGAAAGTGTAGCTTCTCTCCTCCATCTGTGTGGGGAGACTTGGTGAAAATTCTTCAGGCCTGTCTGACACTAACCGACCCACACATTTTTACCTCTCCCATGTCATCATAGTTATGAGATAGAGTTCTCAGAAACAAGCCTCATTGTCCAAGAATAAAACAGACTTGGTCTATTTTACTTCCATATATTCAAATTTAGTGGGCATTCTACTGACAATTTCCTCTTGAAGCTAAATAGTAGAATGAGATAGGTATTGGAGACCTGTTCTCAAAAAACTTCATCAGTCACTACCACTTTCAATGGCTTCTGGAGCTGACACTTAAGTTGCTAGGGCCACTTGTTTGCAAACCATGTATCTAATAAAGGACTAGTATCTAGGATATATAAAGAACTCTCAGAACTCAGCAGCAAAAGCAATTCACTTAGAAAAGGAACAAAAGATTTGAAGAGACATCTCACTGAAAACAAGCACATGAAAACATGATCAACATTATTAGCCAATAAGGAAATGCAAATTGAAACCACAACAAGATATCACCACACACCTATCAGCGTGGTTAAAATTAAAAAAAAAAAAAAAGGGATAATACCGAAAGTAGGTGAGGATGCAAGAAAACTGGATTCCTCATACATCACTGGTGGGAAGGTATGATACAGCTCTTCTGGAAAACAGTTTGGCTGTTTCTTTAAAAATTGAACATGCAACCAGCATACAACTTAACAATTGCACCCCTGGGCATTTATCCTACAGATACCATGACTCAGCTTCACACAAATACCTATATGTGAGTGTTTATAGAAGCTTAATTCATAACAACCAAAAACTTTAAACAAGTGAGATACCCTTCAATGAGTGGACGATTAAAGAGTCTGTGGTAACTTCATACCATAGTTATGATTTAGCAATAAACAGGAACCAACTACTGATACATACAATAACCTGGCTACAACTCCAGAGAATTATGCTAAGATAAAAAAGTCAATCTCCGGGCCAGCCGAGTGGCGCGTTGGTTAAGAGCTGGCTTGGGACACCAGAGGGCCCCGGTTCGGATCCCACATATGAGGGCCAGTGACACTGCCCTCTACAGCTAAGATGCTGAACAACAGCTCAACCTGGAGTTGGGTTGCCGTGAGTCACGGGCGACGGCGTAGGCTGCAGCCCCTGTGGCAGTGGGTTGCCATGGGCTACCATGTGTAGCTAGCAGCCAGCGTGAGCGGCCAGCAGCCGCAGTGAGCAGCCGTCCAGAAGCCAGCGATTGATCTGCCTTGCCCGGGAAGAGCGCAATGATGGTGCCAACTTGGGCCAGTGAAGCAACGTTTTCCACAACTAGACTGAAGAACAAAAGGACAACAACTCGTCTGTTCCCCTTCCCCCAATTCTCCAGCGCTGTTCCCCTCCCCCAATTCCCCAATAAAATCTTTTAAAAAATAAGCCAATCTCCAAAGGTTATGTACTGTAGGATTCCATTACATAACTTAGTTAAAATAACAAAATTATACAAACAGAGAAAAGCTTAGTGGTTACTGGGGTGAGGAAAGATTGGGGGCTGGAGGAAATAAGTGTGGCTATAAAATGGCAGCCTGAAGAATCTCGTGATGATGGAAATATTCTGTGTCTTGACTGGGTCAGTGCCGATATCTTGGTTGTGATATTGTACTATAGGTTTGCAAGATATCACCAGGGGAACCTAGAGAAAGGATACATGGACTCTTTCAGCATTCTTGCACAAAACTTAAGGTAAATCTACAGTTACCTCAAAATGTTAAAGCTTCACTTAAAAGAGAGTCAGGCGTCACCAAATTATGACAGCACATTATGAGAACTGAGCTGCTGCGCTCTGCCCAAGTGTCACCCAGCAAACAGCCATCTACTGCAGCTCTGACACCCTCACAGCGCTTGTGGCCATCAGGCTCACACATCGGGTCATAATGCCTCTCGTCCTATGTTCACCAGACTTGCCTGGCATCTAGTTTTATGATTTGTCTTCCTGCTTATAATTTCAAGTCATTTCTTTATATCTGCCACTTAACGCCTCTTCTCTAACTCCAGTCAGTCACAGGTTTCCCTGACAGCAGAAGTTCTTTCTCCTACTCCCTACGTGTGGCCATTTCTGTCCCTCCTGCCACGAGGAGGGACAGGGTCACCAGTGCTCCATCTAACAGATGGGGCTGGGTGTCCTGGGGGAGGGGCACTAACCGAAGCTGAGGTGAATTAGATGTAAGTCACTAAGACTTAGTAACTGAAAATTTGAAACTGAGGTATTTTCTCCCTGCTTGCTGTCCATAAATCTACCCATTTCTGTAGTCACAAGGCTTTTTGAACAAGACAGTGGCTAAGCTCTGTGCCAGGTCCAAGTTCCTGAACATTTATATTTCCTCAAATCATCCAAGACCTTTTCCATTCAAAACCAAGGCCAAACAAACAGATAATAAACATAGGGAGAGAACTTTGGAGACTTCTCAATTTGATCTATGAAATGCCCCACTGTAAAGAAGTTAGTTTCTCCTTTTAAAAAACAAACAAAAACCCTTATATTCTTCCTTTCATTACCCTTGAGTGAAAGACTCACTAAATTGACTCCCTGATCTCCTGCCTGATGTGCATCACATTGGCTATGGTGCTGAGGGGAGGCGCAAAAATCCTGTTTCATTGGCCTTATATAAAAAATAACACAGAGAACAATAGCACCTGTGCTACGATATTAGCCAGTACCAATAAGGGTTCTCACTGGAGAGACATGAACGAAAGTTCTTGGTTTCCAGAAGTTTCTGTGATGGCCTGTGTTTTCAGACAGAAGAGCTGAGGAAACTGCACCCCTGCCTTTATTTACCTCCAAAGTAGATAAATAGTCCAACCACACCCTGCTCTGCCCCGGGCACAGGTTCAGGCTGAGAAAGAATTAAAATAAGAAAAAAGGGGATGTTTGTGGTTTATTCCAATAGTGAAAACAGGGGACAGGGGAAGAGCATTGAAGCAGCAAATGGGCTCTTTGTCTTTAAACTTCGCATTGTAAAATCTTGGAAGGACAAGGCTGGTGTCCCCTGCCTGTTCCTGTTCCAGTCCCAAGGGAGGGCTCCCTCCCTCAGTCCCTGGGAGCCCTGCAAACAGCCCTGGAACAAGCTCTCAGGGAGGAGAATGGCTCCCAGAGCTCTGAATTGCTAACTGGCCGATCCCAGGGGAAAAGGTGGCTTCGTCTGCTCAGCCTGCCCCAGCTCCTGCCTCTGCGTCCCAGGCCGCCAGCCTTCTCTGGCTGGCATTCACTTCTCCAGCCCATCCTGGAGGTGGATGCTGTCCTGACCTGCTGTCTGGGCATGTTCTATGTCCTAACATTACAGCAAATGCATCACTGAATTTACTCTTTGGTAGGAAGCAATTGTAAAACCAACTTACGTGTTACCAACAAAGCATGGGAGAAATGATGGTCCTTTCAACAGCATGTCTCCAGGCACAGGAGGACAAGGAGAGCAGAAGAAACACACGCCCCAGGGTCAGTGTCCTAATTGTCTAAATTTCTGCTGAAATCAGAGACACATTTAAAAATAAGTCCAACAACCGTCCTGAGCTTCCTTCCATCCCCCCTCCCCAAGCTTTCCCCACCTTCTGGAATTGCATAAAATCCATTTTCTAATTTTTCGTGTAAATTGTATAAAAATCTCAAACCATCTTCGGGAACGCTTACTTTATAACATCTTCCCTTTTGAAGCTGCAGAATATTTGTCTCAAGAGATCATAAAATATTAAACCTTTTCCCCCAATCCAAAAAGGGCGTGAGATTACACATTTCAAAGTATAGCATAAGGAATAGAGTCAGTGGAACTGTAACAGCTATTATATACGATGTCAGAGGGGTAGTAGATTGGGGGAGGGGAGTTATCACTTTGTGAGGGTATAAATGACTAACTATACATTGTTTTGTACACCTGAAACTAATTAAAAAAAATTCCAGCCCACCTCTGACTATGTTCCACAGTAAATTGCCAGGCAGAAACAGATTAAGAAGAATGGTTGCTTTTCAAAAATGTCAGCTAGGCCACAATTTCTATTTTCATGAAAATTAACACAGATTGCTCTTTCAGGGGAAAAAAAAATTTTTTTTCTGAAACATTCACGGTCTCTCTGGTTGTTTTGCATCTATGTTTGGAGGCAGCCAAACTTTCGGACGGTGCTCACTTCCCTTTTCCTGTCCCCCCTTGTACCTGCATTGTATTTGCATTTTATTCCCAGCTTTCTTCATACCCAAGAGATGACTCGTTTTGGTGGTAAATGAAAAAGAAAATGCCCAAGGTTTGAAAATTTTCAAATCAAAGTGTTAAGTGAATGCAGAAGATTATACTTAAAATACCTGTCACAACTCAGGTGACATCTGTTTCAAGAGCACAAACAATCCAATATTTTGTCGTCTCATCATTCACGGCTTTTTGAGAGAAAACAGAAAGCAGAGCAACCTACAAGTGAAACCAAATAAACAAATTTTGGTTTAGACAAGGAGGAGAAACCAGACTATTTTAAAACCTGAAAAACGTAATCACCTTACTTGCATGTATGAAGTGCACATATTTTGACAAACTTTTAAAGCCTGCATTTTCTGAATTAGCATGGTTGTCCAAATACCAGTTGAATTAAAGTGAGAATGAAGATGGGATAGCTGCTCTGCTATATATGAGCTATATGTAAAAAATTACACATTTACACACACATCTATATATAAACTTCATAAATGATCTGGCAGGACTTCTTAATTTGCATAATTAAAACAACCATAGGCTTTATGTTAGAGACCAGTTAATGCCTTTGGAGAATTTTAAATAAACAACAAACCATAAATAGTGCATTTTGTCTCTTTGTATTTCATTTTCTATTTGTACAAACAAAACTAAATAGAAATGTGCATCTTAAAAGTTACCATGCAAGTCGTTGAGATGCACGATTCTATATCATTCTATCACTCCCATACTCATATCAATATTTAGAAATTTGCTCTAGAGAGAGATTGATTTGCCATATGTGGTGATAACAACCATTACAAACTTCCAATATTTCACAAACCATGATATAAATTGACTTTACCGCACACTCCTGGATGCCATTAGGCTCCTCCCCTATCAGAGAAATTGTTTCCATGGTAACTGAAAGGGGAAAAAGCACAGGGAGGGGGGAAAAAGACACAAAAAGCTAACGCAACAAGATATCTATGGAATAAACAAAATATGGGCAAGCTTTGGATGTCATAACACTTTTATTGCTTCTAGACCCACATACTTCTAGAGACGCTAAGGCCATACTATCTAACAGATCAGATGAAAAGGAAAGACTGTGCCTGAGATTGGACTTGTTAAAATGGCCAGTAGCCTGCAGGGCTGCCTGCTGTTTCCCAGTGTAGACAACACCTTGTAAAAATGGAGCCTGCTGAATCTTTCTTTCGCCACCAAGTCTGCAGAACCCATGTGGGCATTGCTGGACTAATTCAGTGTACAGCAAATAGCTAGATTTGGAAGCAGAGCTAGCTGTTTACAGGAGCACCGAATCCCCTGTCCTAAGGTAGCTACCGTCCTTGCTTTGGCCACACACAGAATTCTCCAGTGGGCGTCCAGCACTAAAATCCATTCAGACCAGGGGGGACACTCTGGGCGCCCTAGAAGGAAACATTAGGTAGCACCTGCTTTTATCTTTTTCTTCATAGTGCTGAAGTAAAATATGCAGCTAATGTAATTTCATTTTTATTAGATTCTGCATGTATGTGGCTTTTAGAAGGAACTCAGGGGAACACACATTACTTATAAACATATACTTTTTAATTAATTTCTTTGTAATTCAAAGTAGATGTCTAATGCATTCATGGAACGATACACGCTCCCTCTGGGGGGCAATTTTAATACCTGCAATTCCCCAGCTTGTTAATCAAAGACTTTTTAGCCTTGTAGATAATTTATATCTGCTTAATGTTCAGAAGGTTGAAATTGCAGCTATATGAGAAAAAAAAATCCTTACCTCTGACAAAAATCAGAAAAGATAAAACCTCGTCGAAATTCTACAGAAATGGGAAATGATGGAAATATCCTTTCTTTCTGAGCTGCTTTCTGTGAAAATATTTTGTGGTTGTATGAACAACAACAAAAAGGCAGCTTTTCTTTTTCCCCCCAGAAGACACAATGAAACTGCTTGAGTTAAAATTCAGCAATGGCCAGGAACCTCCATCTCTGAACATGCTTATTTTTAGCAGTTTTGTATTTTGAGAGAATACCTTTTTTGCTTTCTATGACAATATCATTGGCAAAAAAATGACATGGTAGAAATTTAGATTTTTGTGGGGGTCCACTTAGCTTTAAGTTCAGTTTTGGCTAGTTCTGAGGCTCCTTTTGTTTCTCTCCTGTTACACTGATGTGTCACCCTGTCATTATGCTCAGTTTTCTCCCGCATGTAGGAGAATGTGAGGAGAATGGTTCCAACTGCACCCAGGACAGGGCTTTAGACACTGAACGGTGGAGAGGGGTGCCATAAGTCAGAGAAAAAAAGGGGATGCAAATACTCTGCTCTCTCTGTTTGTAACCCTTCTCCATGATGTGTGTACATCCTTTAGATGTGTGTACGCTTGTGCGAGCATTTGCACATAGACAAACATATTCACAGTTGGACACACACACGCTTTTCTTTGTAGATGCATATCCACATTTCAGCGGAACGTGGCAGCTCTACATTGGGGGCCAGGAATACAATCATCATGGACTCTTACAGATGAAAGAAGGTTTGAGAACTCCCTGTGCAATCTCTCTCACAGCGTGGAATCCCCTTATAACAGTGCTGTATGGGGATAACTCAACCCAGGCTTAAATGCTGTAGGAAGGCAAACTCACTATGATTGTGAGACAACCTAGAGCACTGTGGGATAGCTTCAATTATTAGAAAGGTGTCCTTTATATCATCAATCTTATATCTGCTTTTTAAAAAATTCTGGTATTGTACTCTGACACCAAATAGAATCAATAAGATGGTTTTTTTTTTCCTTAAGCTGACAGTCCTCAAACACGTTTAACATAATTGGTTCCCTCCCCTTTTTTCTTGAGTTAAACATTCCCCCTTTGCCTTGCTTGTTTCTCCCAAGGTAAGGCTTTGGGAACCCCACTCTGTTGACATACTTAAGCCAATTTGGCACCCAAGCTGGACACAGTACTCCAGATATGGTTGTTATTTACATAGTTGAGAATGCATAGGCTCTGTTTTCATTTATTAATAAGTGTGCTTTTATTGGTTCAGTAGAAGATCAGAGGTGGCCTTATTTTCACAGCTAGGTCACGCTGCCAGCTCATATTGAACTTGTAGTTAGTTACCTTAACACTTCTAGATCTTTTTACTGCCTGAAGTCTAGCAGCTGACTTTCCGAAGCTAACTGCAGATCATTATGTTTATCACCGTTGCAATTTATCTCACAGGTTTAAGCTTTTCTTTTAGCCTGCTCATATCATTTTCAATCTTACCTCTATTATTTTAGTATTTGCTGTTAATCTTGGGGTTTGAGTCAGCCACAAAGTTGGACAGGTTGTAATTCATGACTCAATCTAAGTCGTCAGTAAAATTTTACGCAGGCCCAAATGAAGAAAGGGTGTGTGGGCTGCTATTAGAGGCTTCTCTTGGAGTAACAAGAATATACATTCTCTGATGTGTAATCAACTGTGAATCCACCTAGCTATGCTATCAGACCACATTTCTAAACTTTACCCATTAGGGGAAACTATGAGAGAGTTGTATGATTGTTTCTTGAAATTGAGGAGCTCTCTGTTTCGCATTCATTGTTTTATATGTACACAGCAAGAAAGGAAATGTGATTAGTTGGATGTGACTGCTGTATCTGAGTTGCGTCCAGTATTGTTTCCTTCTTTACTCCTTAGCTTTATTGGGCATTTCTTCTTACTGGCATTTTTTCGACACAATTATCATCCTCCATAGGAATTATGTTAATAATTTTATCTGGGCATTTTTCTCCCTCACTTTAGGAGACCCCCGCTAATGTAAGACCATCTCTTGCCAGATGCATTCTTCCTGATCATCATACTTCCAGTCTCTGATCAAAAACCCAGGTTTCAGTATCACAACCTGTCACCCAGGGAGCCAAGCACTATCATTTAACATCACCTCTTTGGCCTGCTGAAAAGCCCCAACATTCAATAAAATGAACTGACACCATCTACAACCTCAAGTCCTTTGAAAAATAGTTTTTGTTTTAAATATTTGTATCATTTCTTTACATGAATTTGCAGAAATGGGAAGGGACTAACGGATTTGATGACTCTGGATAAGGTCTCCATCCCCGAGGATGTCTTTTCCAGAAGGAAATCTTATGCTTCCAAAATGTCAGCATGGGGGTTGCTTGGCTGCCTCTTCTCTCTGCAGTAGGAATTCTGCTCTCGTTTGGCAGCAGCTCAAATGGCTGAGGAGAAAAGAGGAGAAGAAAAAGCAGGTTGAGGTAGAAAAGGCTGAGAGTGATTCTGGGTCCTGACTGAGCTGAGCACTCACCGACCGCTCCACAGACATGCACCAAGGCCATGGGTGATGAACAAGAGATCTCATTACTCTGCCCCAAAGGCTCTGACAACCCCTATCTGGGTCCATATTGTCCCACCCCCATCTCTTAATTCAGAACCCCTGTTTCTATTCCGGTGTTCTCAATTTCCAACCTAATACATAACTAGTATTGGCCCATTGAACTCACCTCCTCATATGAAGCTTTCCTTGAACTGCCAAGTTTAATGTCAATGTCACCCTAGAAGTTGTTTCTTGGGTCTTTTAGAGGATATTTCAAGAGGCTATTTTGATGCTGTGGGTATTTTGTGGCTCTGGGCATGAGAGATGAAGTAAGGATTAGGGATGGGGCAATTATTACTCGGTAATTGTTGCCATGAACATTTTCTTTTTAGAACCAGAAAAATACTCAAGGCATTAAAAGTCTGTTTCAAAATGGTTGTTTCAAAACCTTCCAACTGGCGCTCTGGTCAGCTTCTGACCTCAGCTCTGCTAAAGTAGGCCCCACGCTGTATCACTCCACACACCTCACCCCCAGGCCAGGCCCTAGGAACTTGGCCTTGTGTCCTGATTCCTACTTTCTAAGGAAAAGAGTTCAGATAATTGTGGGAATCAATTTTACTAGTTCAACACAAATCGGACTACTCCTAGTTTCTTTGTTCATATTACATGGAAGGAAGAAAACCAACTCTTTCTTTATGCTGCTCACCATCCCTTCACCAGCTCACACAGGAACAGAATCTGGGCTATGCCACGCACAGTGAAATGATCTGAGGGGGCAGAAGAGTTTTGATATGGAGCCGGGTGGTGCAAATACAGCAGTGGCTGGAGTTTGGAGCATGAGAATGTTTCACAGATTTGGACAGTTGTTTTGTATAATAGGACAATAAGCTTTCAGGCGAGTAAAGAAAGACATAGAACACCA